AATAATAATAATAATAATAATAATAATAATAATAATAATAATAATAATAATAGTAATGGTGATGATAATGATGATAAAATACAAATAATAATGGTAATAATAAAAACGATAATGATAATAATGATGATGGTGATAGTACATGATAATGATAATAATTGAAACATCAATAATATATATTGATAATAATAACAGAGATAGTAAGATGGACAGTAATGATAATCATGATAATAATTATGATAATAATGATAATAATAATGATGATGATAATAGAGATAGTAACAGCAATAATAAAAATAACAGTAACAATAACGATAACAAAACTTATGATGATAATGATAAGGAGGACAAGAATAATAATGATGATGATGATCATTATCATCATTATCACTATCATTACAATCATCATCAATCAATCTCTCTCTGTCTCTGTCTCTGTCTCTCTCTCTTATACGAACACACACGTTAATGCATTCAGCAACTAAGCCCAAGCCCTCGCCAACAACAACACACAATGCATCCGAACACATCTCTTTTCCACCTAACATTTCCTGTGAGAATAACATGTCACCCTAAGTATACACTTACCTAATTGCCTATGCGACTTAATTCTGTCGATAAACGATGTTGTTGAAGCTTTTTACATTTATTTAAGATGACTAACTTATTTATACTCGAATTTGATGGACACGTAACCTAATATGTTTATTCGCTATCACGTGATATTGATAACCACGGTGATAATAAAACCAGATAATATATATAACCGGAGAGCACCAGGAAAAAAACAAAAACATAGAACATGACATGTCATAAATATGAGTGAAAGTAAAGAAGTGAAAGGAGCTAACATGGAATGAAAAAAAGAGAGAGAGAGAGTAAAAGAAAACGTTATTTTCACCTTTTGTTTTATCGGTAAAATTTCCGTAAGATTTGTCTTCCTCCTGCTGGGCGTCCTTCGCTTCCACGACATACACGCTTCTTAGAGGGGCGTCTGGAGGTCCTTTCAGATCCTGCACGATGGATAATCCTTGAGGTTGCCATTGCTGAGTCCCTTCTGTCTTGCAATAAACTCCTACCATCCATATAAACAAGAGATAGGATTCTCTGGCCATGTTCTGTACTCTTTTTTCTTTTCTTTTTATTCTTTATTTTACTTATTTTATCCTTCTATCGCCACGTTTCTTCGAGTCTGAAGCAAAACATCGTCGGTCCTGACCCTTCTCGGAACAAAAAGGAAACACGGGACGGTTTTCAAAATGGCGTCTCACTTGGCCTCGCGTTCACTCACATATCTTTTTCTTTTTTTGAAATAGGGGGGACTTATCCGCACGCTCACGGGCAGAATACCTTACCAATCAAACACTACAATATCTAGGATGCCTCTCTATGATCCAAGACCGCAGTAGAACCCCTTAAAATTTAATAATTCTTCGACTGAACGGGGCAGCAAGGTGAAGCCCGCGATACACAAACACACTACCGATACGGCATGACAAAGAGATGTCATTGGGGAGGGTTGTTGCAGGGGGGGGGGGTAGGGGGAGGAGGGGAGAGACGGTGGCTGATAAGGAAAAGAGGGAGAGGGAGGGGGGTAAGAGAGAAGGGAGAGAGGGGGGGGTCGAAGCGAGGGAGTCCGTGTGATATATAAACGATAAAATTGCGATAGTTTGTTGGCCAATACCCCTTTGAAACACAAATAATAGGAATATATGTGTCATGAAGCGCCATTTAGACTAAATTATTTAAGAAATAATTAAAAAATGAATAAATAAATAACTATAACACATGGCTAGATAATCCTATAATGATTACATGCCTTTCGCAAGACGTGTAACTAATATCAGTCATAAATGCAGTTAGAAGAATAGGCCTACATAGGAACCATAAACCAGGTCGATTATACAACAAAGTGATATTGAAAAATAGTCATTAGAAAGACTAAAGACCTTGCTATTTAACTGTTATAAAGCTAATTGGAAACGACCAATGAAGGAAAAAGTTTAGATGCGATAACGAATTAATTGTCAGAGAAAGATATTAATATATTAGCTGTTTCTACTATTGGTAATGATAATGATGGTGATGAGAATACTTGTAGTGATAATAAGAACAATGATGATGATGATTATGATAGTAATAATGATGATAATAAATCTTACTTTTTAAAAATGATAAAATACTAATATGATGATGATATGATGATAATGATTACAGGAAACATGGAATGAAAACAAACTATTTTTTCCATTCTTATATTTTTACATGGCTGATTTTGTCCAAAAGGAAGTGTACATAAAACATAAATGAAAACTGAATAGATATGACTAATTATGATAATTATCAACCATGGAGCTCTCTTAAGTTAAGCTTCACCCCTTGATATAGTTTTTTTTTTTTTTCTTTTATGTTGAAATTTGAACAAGTCAACCTCATGGTCCTCAGGTTAAATGCGCCCCTCGGAACAGTCACAAATAACCTGCAATAAATAACTATGTATTAATCCAATCAACACAGATATATCTAGTCAAACTTTATCATTTTTGTAATTTTTTGTTACATACACATGGCGTTTTTTGCCACCAAGGAGCCCTATAGGTGAGATGCGTAGGACTGTTAACTTATTCCTTGTGACTGAGTACTTGTAGAGCAACTTATGAACTTATATAACTGTAGGCCTGGCATGTATTCTTGACAAATGGGGTGACTCGGTTAAAATGACATGACAAAATAGGTCTCATATACATAGGAAAAACAAATAAATATGTGAAATAGAATAAAGAAAATGTTTAAACACAATCGTACACTGAACTGTCTCAGCCCATGAACTAATATATATACAATGTACACTTTTTGTCTTTAGAGTCACTTTTGGAAATCGAATAAGTACAATATATCATAAGTAAAGGTATGTAATGTCAGAGTGTTTCATAACATAATCTTGAGAAGCTAAGTATTTTTTTTTTTTTTTTTTAGGGGGGGGTTCTCAAGATGGAAGCAAAAACGAACACTGGCGTTCGAATGTTATGATTCTGGTAAACCTGAATTAAATATATCAAAATATAATAACAGATGGAAATGGTATGTGCCTTAATATATTTTCTGATCAGTTACCCATAAAATGCGTTTGTCAGATATTTGGTTCATTAAAATTTTAATAAAACAACAATATGTTCACGTTACTTAACCTCAATGAACATGAACAAAAACAGCATTGTCAAAAAAAAAAAAAAAAATTACATCAATAACTGCAAACCTATAATTAACAAACTTTATGAAACACAATAAAACAATAATAACAATTACAACACTAATAAAAAATAAAGTGCTAACCACAATCGTAATAAAATTTACTTATCCTATAAAAATCAAAATTTTACAGGATTAAGGCAACCAAAATTTTACAACAGTGGAACCATCAACAATAAGAACAAATAACAATAATAGTAACACAAAAATATAACATCCGTAACTAAATATAAAAGAACATTAATAACACAAATGAAATTGACGTCAATACCAACATATGTCACGATAACCATGGTGATGATTCTCCTTATCTTAATTTCCTGGTTTTATCGACGTGATAATACAGTGAAACGTGACGTTCTTTTTCTCTCTTGATGTTTTATCTTTGATAACATTCGTAAGCCACTAAAATACCTCATATGTCAACTGTGTGTTTTTTTATGATTCTTTTTCCACATAGATGGCTCCACATGCGCATAGTTGCCAAGGCGTCAATTATTAATATCATTATAGTCCTAACCCTCTCTCTCCTGTTTATCCTTTCCTTTTGATTTTTCTTCTTTTTTTCTCCTGTTTATCCTTTCCTTTCTTCTTTTTTTCTCCTGTTTATCCTTTCCTTTTGATTTTTCTTTTTTTTCTTCCTTTTTTTAGAGCTATATTGCTATTAGCATCGCTAATATAAGTATGATTATCATGGTGTCCATAATAATGTTAACAACAGCGGTTTATATAACATATAACATTTATATAACACTGTATGTCTTCTTTTTTATTATTATTCACAGTCTAATCGAATATTCCATAATAAAACACGAATCATAAAATAAAAAGATCTAAATTTATTATTATTATTATTATTATTATTATTATTATTATCATCATCATTATTATTATTATTATTATCATTATCATTATCATCATTATTATTATTGTTATTATTATTATCATTATCATTATCATCATTATTATTATTGTTATTATTATTATCATTGATATGGCGATGATTATACAAATAATAAGGATAGTTATGGTAATGATGGTAATAAAGATTATGGTAATGATGATGATAATGCCAATAATGATAATGATAATTATCATAACAGTGATATAATAAAAATGATAATGATAATAATATTTATGACAATCAAAATAATAAAAATAAAGATGTTGATATTAGCAGTTATAGTAGTAACAATAAATAATCTTTAAAAAGTGATGATAATGATGATAATCTTTGTGATAATAATGATGGTGATAATCATAATGATAAAAATAATAAAGATAACCATAGAAATAATAATGATGATATGAGTAAAATAGCAAGAGCGATAATAATGCTGATAAGAATAATTAAGATACTAATTTTTGGAATTGTGTTAATTCATCTTGAGTTACGGGTATCACATGAAATGGAATTGATGCCAAATGTCACCTGACGACATAACGTGTGATAAGGCTTATCTCGCCAATCACAGTGTTGCCGTACTGCCATGTGGGTCACACTATTTTCTAGAATATTTCATGTCATCTCGCTATTCTTTGGAAATTTTACACAATAATAGATCAAAATTTAGTTGAACATTATAAATACAGGTTATGATATAGATCTAATTTATGGAGTTAAAAAAAAAAAAGAAGTTTGAAGTTAAACATATTGTCCTGTTTAACCTCGTTTTGTTCCTGGAAGTTTGGCAACAGTGTATGTAGATTTATGATCACTTATCTAAGGTTATCTCGCAGTGTTGGGAGTGACAGTGTGGGAAGTGTATGTTATATCTATTGGAAAAGTGTGCTTGAAGAGAGCTTACAGTGTGTATATATACATATATATTTATATCTATGTATGTATGTATATATGTATATCGTTACAGTATTCATCCCTTCATATGGAAACACGTGATAAAGTTTCACATAGTGTATAAAAAAGCAAAAGTGTAAATATAAAAAATCAGAAAAATATGCATATTACAGATAAATAGAAAGAGAGAACTAGAGAGAGAAAAAAAGAGCATCGCAATAAGGGAGTAAGAGAATTGAAATCGATAAAATGGCGGGAACTTATATTTCAATCTTGTTACGGAAAATGTTTGTATTTTTTATTTTATGTATTTTGCTTCGAGTTACTACAGGAAAAGGTAAGAAGGATAAATAAAAATATAAATAAACTATTTTCTTTTAACTATTTATTTGATTAATTATTCAAGAATCATAATAAAACTTGTAAATTGACTAGTGTGAATTAAATACAAAGTGTAAATACTTCATGTTTTAACTGAAGAAATTATATAAATACGATAAACAGATATTGTTGATTATTATAACTTAACAATAACTTTTTAAACTGTGTGTAATGCAAACACTATTTTATTTTAGAAAATACAGAGTTGTAGTTATGAGTATAGATAAAATACCAATATCTTTATGATGATTATTGTCACCATTTTTTGCAATTATTTTTATTCTCTTCTTAATAGTGTTATTGTTATCTTTATCACTGTTATTTTCATCACCATTTTCCTTATTGTTGTGTTTATGTCATGTTATTATTACCATTGTTATTATCTATCATCATTATTATTGATATTATTATTATTATGGTTATTATTGTTATTGTTATTATTATTATCATTATTATCATTATTATTATTATTATTATTATTATTATTATTATTATTTTATTATTATTATTATTATTATATATTATTACTACTACTACTACTATTGTTGTTATCAATATCATTATTGTCATTATTATTTATTATTATTATTATTATTATTATTATTATTATTATTATTATTATTATTATTATTATTATTACTATTAGTACTATTATTACTATTATTACTATTATTACTATTATTACTGCGATTAAAATTATCACCATTATTATTATTATCATTACTATAATTATTATCATCATCACCATCATTATTATTATCATTATGATTATCAGGATCAGTATTACTATTATCAGTAAGGATTTATATAATTATGATAATGAGTATTATAATATAATAATAATAACAGCAACAGTGATAATGATGATGATGATGATGATGCGATTAATAATGACAGCAACAACAACAACAACAACAACAATAGAAATATTAATAACTACACTAATACTACTGATAATAGCACTAATAATGAAAAAAAATTACGATAAAGATAAGAATAATCCTCATCATCCCCAACATCATCATCGTCACAAAAACAAACAGATAAGAAAAATAAGACCATAATATATGACTTATGTGAACAAAGAAAATGGGTTGCAGTATGATACAAAGAAAACGAAAGAAATATCAAAGAGAAACTAATCTAATTTTGATTTTATGAATTAAAGCAGTATAGTTCTTAATTAATGAGATAGAGATAAATAGATAGATAGATAGATAGAGAGAGAGAGAGAAAGAGAGAGAGAGAGAGAGAGAGAGAGAGAGAGAGAGAGAGAGAGAGAGAGAGAGAGAGAGAGAGAGAGAGAGAGAGAGAGAGAGAGAGAGAGAGAGAGAGAGAGAGAGAGAGAGAGATTCCTTGGACAAAAGACATAAAATATACATTAACTAGATAACTAACAGAAGATAAGCAACACTATAAATAATTCTAATCACCGAAAACAAAAAAAGAGGAAAATAAGCTCAACGAAAGAGTGAAATAACTAAAGAAAACGAAAACATGATCAAAGAAAACCAGACCCAAATTATGGATAACTAAAACAAACCTAAAAATAGAAAGAACAAATATATAAGGTTATAATCGCTATCTTAATCATTATCATCATTGTTTTCATCACCATCATTATTATTGCTACAATTATCACCATCATCATAATCATTCATCACTGTCATCACCAGAATCACCATCACATTAACAAACACTCACCATCACCATACTCTCACCATCACCACCCTCCCCACTCTCACCACCACACTCACCCCAATCCGCCCACCTCCGCCCACAGATATCGAAGGCCCACAACACACCTGCACGCCCGCGACTGGTTGTGTGGAAGGGTGGGAGGCGCCCAGACCAGAGTGTGTGGATTTCAGGTGCCGCTGTCCCAATGACACTTGCACAGTCCTCACCAGGAGGGAAGGAATCGCCCAATATAGCTATTATTGTGGGACTTGCGGTAAGGGGGGGAGGGGAAGGAGGAGGAGGAAGGGGAGGGTGTGTGTGTATATAATGTATATATATATATATATATATATATATATATATATATATATATATATATATGTATATATTTATTTGTTTGTTTATTTACTATATATATATATATATATATATATATATATATATATATATATATATACGTATGTATGTATGTATATTTATATATTCATATTATATATTCATATATATATATATATATATATATATATATATATATATATATATATATATATATATATATATATGTATGGTAATGTATGTGTGAGTGCATGTGCATGTGTACGTGCAAAACAAATAGGCATCTACTTAAGATATTTAGTAACGTATATAGTACACCTATACCCCTCTTTTGTACATACAAGTCCATAAAATTATTACAACCAATGAAAATACCCAGAAATCAGGTGCCCGAACCGACCAGCCGCCATTAATTTGTCTCGAATGCCCGCTCTCCTCAGGCACCATGGGGTCCGAGTGCAGGAATTCTTCTGCCGTGTGCCAAGGGGGTGCCAGGTGCAGGAACGGGTACTGTATGTGCGACGGTGGCAGTATCTACAGGGAAGTGTGGTAGGTGCTGTTCCGCGGTTCGTGGTT